CCCTACCGTGAGGAGTGGGGGAGACTCGAATAAGGCATAGAACTTGATTGCAGGGCGATATAGTTTTGCAGTTGCAGTTCCTTGCATAAAAGGTCTGAAGTAGCTCCAAATTCTTAGTACGTTTCTAGGCTCATTTTTCATGGAATTTTCGAATGACATCTCTGAACGTGCTCGTTATGGGATGCTGGGCCCGGTTCCCAGTTTGTGCCACTTTGTGAGGATATGGTTGTATCTATGGGACGCTGGACCCGGTTTCCAGCAGGTGTTGCTCCCCACCAAAAGAAGGAGCTTGTGTTTTAAAAAAAAAAAAAAAAAAAAAAGGGCCACTGGCAGGTGCTTCTTCGTTAAAAAAAAAAAAAAGTTTTGCAGTTTATCAGTAGTTATATTGCTATTTGTGTGCTAAGCAAGCACTCAGAGCTGGCCGAATCACACTACCGGTAGGCGGGACTTTCATCCATGCATCTGCCTGTAATTACGACCGGCCCTGGACGCATTTGACTACAGTTATGTCCCCACGTCAGTCGACAGAGTCCTCGTGTCACCGTGGGAGTATATGCTCCCCTAACTAACACAGTGTGTCCTCCCTTTTCATCGTTCTGTCTGCGGTAGGACGTGTTCGTTCCCTCTGGTCTGCCTCTTTTTTTCCCTTTTTTTTTTCAAAAGGGTGACGGTCTTGAGACTTGATTATCGAACTGACTGGCCCTCGGTAATTCAGAATTGTTTGCAGCCCGTCAGGGTTGCGTTTTATGCCCTTGAGACCTTCAACGTCAATTCAACTTTCAACGTTGGTGGTTGTTCGGGAGGGTGGGCAATTTTGAGGTGAGGGCTTAGCAAGGGGCGAGGCATGTGAAGGAGGCCGTGGTCCTTGAGTTTTGAATATTTTGAAATCGTGGGTCCACTTTTCTCGAATAGAAGAGCACTTCGAATAAAACTTGTACACGTTGTCTTCGAATACGTGTACCCTTTTCTATTCGAATTTCAAAAAGAAAAAACTCTTGTATTCCAATAGAACATTACTTTTTTTTATTGGGAGGTCAGTGCCTGCCCTTGTGCTGCCTGCTGCAGGTCTCTCTCTCTCTCTCTCTCTCTCTGCCTGCTGCAGGTCTCTCTCTCTCTCTCTCTCTCTCTCACACACACACACACACACCTGTCTCTTATACACATCTAGATGTGTATAAGAGACAGCACACACATTATCCTATCTATTGGTGGGGAGCGCCACATGCTGGAAACTGGGTCCAGCGTCCCATGAACAACGTGAATAAACCGGGGACCCCCCCCCTCCCCCCCACACACACACTCGTTGAGTTGTGTATAGCGAACACGACAAAACATACACACAGCATAATCACTACCTTACCCTTCCCCAACCACATCTTCAAACAAACTACGCGCGCCAGAGTGCACCCGTGCCCTCATGGTAAGTCAATAGTATTTTAGTCATCTGCTTCCAGTTGAGTTGGAACTCAGGTCTGTATTCCAACAGTTCAGGGGTGTGCCAACTTTGCTAGGCCAGTTGGTCCTGCCTTTTTTTCGTTCTCCTTCTTTTCCCCAAAAATCAAATCTTCCTCGGCGTCCCTTACAAGTGATCAACAAGGAGGGATAAATCATCAACAAGGAGGCAGGCGAAGGGGGGAGGGGATCATCTGCCCGTTGCCGAGTAACGCCCTCAGCACGGCCACGCTCCTTTTGGAAAAGAAGGTGAAAGCAGATCCTGCCTCAATCATCCCCCTACCGCGAATATCTGAAAAGCACGGGAAAATCAGGAAAGAATGAGGGTCAGATCCCACTACCCTGGATTATTCGTTTTTCACCCTCGATTACGAAGATCAACGGTCAGAAATGAAGAATAGGGGCTAGTGGGATCTGGCCCTAAGTGGGAAAGTGGGAAACCAATCGAAAGGTAACGGAAGACCAGAGGCGTATCTTCTGTATCGTCTTCGTGGACCGTCCAGCTTGTCAATCCGCAAGGCTGCTGGAGGGTTGAGCTGCTACAGTGTGAGACTTGCCCCCTCGTGCTTGTTTATTAGGCACGTGTGCAAATTTTTTTTTTTTTTTTTTTTTCTTCTTAAAACTATACTCTTCTCTCAATTTTTCCTCACACTACCTACCTACCGCTACTCCTACCTATAGGCATACGGGTTCCCGTAGCATACCAGAGCCGTGTTTTTATGGCCCCTCGAGCCTGCAGGATACCGGCCAGGGGACGGCCGGTAGCACCAGGGATAAAGCGGACCAATCCCCCGTGCCTCTCCTCAGGCCCCTCCCCTACGAACATAGCAGACTCTGCTTGATGCTGATCGGGGGATCCAGTGGTCTATCTCTTGGGTAGCGGGTGCCAAGTAAGCCCAGGAAGGCATGAGGCCAATGGGGATTGAACGCATGACCTCCTGAATGCCACTTGCGAGCCTTACCAACTGAGCTAGGCCGCTGGATTGTGCAATTTTTTTGGTTCTTTTTGGGGCTGCCGAACCAAACGAATAAAACAGGTCCACATGAGGTCCACGCCCGGTCCTAGGTCCACATGAGGTCCACGCCCGGTCCAAGGTCCACATGAGGTCCACGCTCGGTCCATCTCGCCATCAGAAGCTGGAGCGGAGAGGGGGCTGATCTACGGAGGGTTGGGTTATTCACACGGTAGAACTTCTGTTGAAGATCTCTGGATGTGGACGTAAACGCCGCCACGTTCATTCAGTGAAAACGTTCTCCTACGGAGGGTTGGGTTATTCACACGGTAGAACTTTTGTTGAAGCTCTCTGGATCTGGACGTAAACGCCGTCACGTTCATTCAGTGAAAACGAGCGGCAGTTGGGGTCAGACGTCCGTCCAGGAAGGAAAACACTAAGCTCCTCGCCAAACCACTGTCCAAATGGAAAATGCTCAAGTGCATCGTTCCTCAGAAAATGGAAAGATGCATTCATTACTATTCATAGCAACGGATGCATCTTGCAGCTCTTCGCTGGCGCATGCAGTGGCCTCTACATTTCTACAGTGGTGTGCCGAGGCCCTAATAACTAATTTTGCGGGTCTGTTGTTTTTATTGTTAGGCACTTTTTTTTTCTTTTTTTTTTCGGGAGAGGGGCAACTGAAGAGTCATTGAGCATTTTGTTATTAAAAAAAAAAAAAAAAAAAAAGACAGAGGGAAGATGAGCATAGTCCCTGTGCAAGGGGAAAAACAAGAAAAAAAAAAAAAAAAAAAAAAAAAAAAAAAAAAAAAAAAAAGAGTCATTGACCCGGCTGCTTTGAATTGAACTGCTGGGGTGTCGTTGTTGTGGTTGCGCCACTAGAAAGTGGTTGGGCGACTACCAACTGGCCTAACTCAGAGTGTACTCACACTAGCCGTATCTCAGATGTATGTGACCGTATTCACGGCCATACCTGGATGTATCTGGCCGAAATTATGTACGAAGTACGTAAAAAAGTCGTAGTGCGAGTATGTCCTCAATTGGTACACACCTGGACTGTTGAAATTGAAATTGAAATACTGATTTGAGTTCGAACTCAGAAAGTGGTTGGGCTACTGCGCTACCGGTAGTTTCGATGGTCTCTGCCATGTGACGATGGCGTAACAAGTGCGTTTTGAGGACGTGGGAAGCGGAGACCGGTCGCGGGTACGTTGTTGCTCTACCGGTACAGCTTGGTTCTGCTACCGATAGTTGAAAATGGTCTTTCCCATCGACGGTCCCATACCGGTAGGGCTTTGCTGTGCTACCGGTAGTTGGAAATTGACTTCGCCATCGACCCTCCCATGCAGAGGGGCGACGAGATCCGCACGTGACTCGTGGCGCACGCGGCTCATTTACAACTCACTGGCCACTGCTTTTTTTTATTTTTTCATTTAATTTTTTTGCTGTTTTGATTTTTGATTCGGACAGACGGGCAGGGGGCCAAGTCCCACTAGCAGCGTTGAGCTACCTTAACGCCTGAATGTGGACGTTTTTGCGGACATGTGCAGAATTGGTGTTGAGTTTCCTGAACTGCACGTCTCCACACACACGTCCAGATTCGGGCGTTGAGGTAGCTCAACGCTGCTAGTGGGACTTGGCCGCGGCTGTGAGAACATATGCTTGTCTGAGGGATTGCCGTCAGATGCATCGTGGTTGGGCCGTAATTGGGTTGGGAAAGTGCTCATAATGAATATGCCCTTCGAGCGGGAATCATTTGGATTGATATATATATATTATATTTATAGATTTGATTGATTTTGATGATTGATAATCTCGAGGTTGGAGGTTGGTCCACGCGGGGAGTTGTGGACGGCGGGAATCAGTCAGTCAGGGGAAATGCCGAGGGCGAGCACCGTCCGCTCAGTCAGCGGTCTCATCCCGCCATTTGGTTTTGGCTGGGACCTTTGTCAGGACAACTATTGGCTGCCGCTACYAGCAATCACCGCGGGTCTGGTCCTTGGCCTCTACAACACCCTGGGCTTTTTTTTTTTGAAAAAAAGGGAAGTGGTTGGAGGTTGGTAGAGCGGGGGCTAGGTCCCACTTACACGAATTAAGAGATATTGACCGAAGATAACACAGATCAACGGTCAGAATCTCGTAATCCGTGCAAGTGGGACCTTGCCCCGGGATTTTTTGATTGAGGAGTTGAGTGATAATCTCGATCGACTCTCGAGGTTGGAGAAAAAAAAAAAAAAAAAAAAAAAGGTTGGAGGTTGGTACGCGCGGCGCGGGGAGTTGTGGACGGCGGGAATCAGTCAGTCAGGGGAAATGCCGAGGGCGAGCGCTGTCCGCTCAGTCAGCGGCAGTCTTCCCGCCAAGACCAGTCAGCCACCAAACTCATGCCACTGGCTTTGTGGGCCAGCCTGGCCGGTGTATCGAAAATCGCGGAGCCAAGGCCCCAAGGCGCCAAGGCGCCCACGGGCGGGATCTAGAGGTGCATTGTTTCCGCGGGCTGAGGGATCAATAGGTGAAATGTGTGAGCGGGCTCAGGGATCTATAGTAGAAATGTCTGCGCGGGCTGAGATGTATAGTTGAGATGTGTGCGCGGGCTGAGGGATGTATAGGTGAAATGTGTGCGCGGGCTGAGGGATGTATAGGTGAAATGTGTGCGCGTGGGGTGTTTTAGTGGACATGGTCGGCTCGGTTTTGATATTTTTACTATTTTAAGCAAGGATGCAGAGAGGAATCGTCCATGGCTAAAATCTTGAAGAAGTGGAGGGAGAGACTCTTTTCTCAACCGGTCGCTTCGTGTGTTGCGTAGGAAGAGGAGTTAGGCTAACACATCCGCAGTTGTGAATTTGTTGTCGTCATCATCATCATCATCATCAGGGGACATAGCCGTTGTCTGTGTGTTTTTATTTCGATTTGTCGCCCGAGCGATTTGTCGCTCGCTCGCTCGGTCGGTCGGAGCCGACGACGTTCCTCTGCGGTAGTAGTTTGTCGTGATCACTGGCGTTGGTTCTTTTGAGTGACCATGGCGGTCGCCTCGCGGGTCACCCACTGGGCGACAGCAGCTGGTCGCTGTGCTGAGCTTCCGATTGGTAGGGTGGAAGCAGGAGGCGGGGCTGATTGTGCGACGAGACAGGCGACGAAGAGCGGCCATGGCATTGGGTATGCAGTGCCCGGGACGGCCAGCTGTCGCCCTGAGCCATCAGCGTCGCAATCTCCATCCTCATCATCCTCCGTTGTGTCCTTCTCTGCGTGTGCGCGATTCCGTGCCTCTCGGCGTCGGTTACCCTCGTCAGACTTTGTAGGAGAGAGTGGGACATTGACAGAACGATGTCTTCATCTCCGAGGAATAAGACGAGGAGGAGGAGGAGGAGGAGGCGTAGGTGGTCTATCGTTAGCGCTCAATCGTGCAGGGGGCTGGACACGTGTTGGCGGGAGCGCGTGTCAATGGGGATGCCGATCGCGATCCGGAATGGGACGCACGGGGCCGAGAGGTGGGGGAACCACGTCATCGTCTTGCGCGTCGTCTCCATTCAGTCCACGTGGATTGCGGCGCTTCGACGATTCCCCGCCGTCGAGACGATGGGGCAAGTACGTGGGAGAAGAAGTGGGAAGAGTGGTCGCTGTGGCGGATGCAGCTGGGGGAAGAGTGGGACAGGGAGGTAGTGGAAGCAGCACAAGTACCGCTGCCATTCTCAACAAAGAGTCGGTCGCCGAGGAACCGGGCTTTACTATCAATATTGATAACGAAGCGGATGAGAAGTACACGCTGGTGGAGGTGGCCGGACAAAATCGGAGAGGCCTGCTGCTCAACATGATGAGCATTTTCAGGTGAATACCCTTTTTCTCCTTTTTTGTGTGGGTTTTGTCTTTATGTCGAGGAACTAATACCCATTTCCATCGAAGTGGTTGGTGGTTTTCTTTTTCTCCTTTATTGTTGACGTCAACGTGGTCCACGCAAAATCTTTACACTCTCAGTTATGATAGTAATGATGGTTATTGACGTCAACGTTTGCGATGACTCCGTGTTGTGGAAGCGCGCGTAATACCTGAGACGTAATACAGCATTTGAGTAGTGTTTGTAATAGTGGTTATTGATTGGAGTACTTGGTAAGGGATAGGATTGGCGGAGTGCATGGCGAACGTGTACCGTATGTACTGCTATGGATGCACTCGGTGAGATTCAGCCACGTATTGCAGTACAACGGTATAATTGATAAGGTAGTGGAATCGAACGAACGGGATAGGCAAAAGTGCACGGCGAATCCGTATCGTATGCAGCAAGTGTGCGTGTGTTTGTGAGCGTGCGCGGGCGGGCGGACGAGCGAGCGAGCAAGAGTGAGCTAGAGAGAGAGAGAGACGCGCTATATGTAGTTAGCTGAGACGTTCTAAATGTGATTGCGCCATGTGGCTGATCGGGAGTGACTTAATGATAAAAGTACATTGTGTGTGTGTGTGTGTGTGTGTGTGTGTGTGTGTGTGTGTGTGTGTGTGTGAGAGAGAGAGAGAGAGAGAGAGAGAGAGAGAGAGAGAGAG